ACAAGGGACAGTAGTGTCCTTTCCTTTTGAAAGAGGAAGGAAGAGAGAAGATATGAATTTACTCAGGTGCTTGGGAGAACTGACATTTGAGAATGTCTGGGCTGAAGAATTCTCTGTGAGTCTTGGAAGGAAATACACTTTGCTTTGAGGTCGATGACTTGAATGAGATGAATCCCACGTCTGCTTCATTTTCTTTGCAAGAATGCTGACAAAGTTCAGGAAAGGGCTGCAGCATTGACTTGGAAGACATCTGTATTGCAAAACGTCTGTAAATCGTGGAGAAAGCTAGGAGGTGGTTTGATCATAACATGCCTGTATTTGCAGGTGAGGAAACCTCACTCCCTGAAAGATTTTTCTAGATTATCTTAAGAAAACCTGATGCCTGTTTGCTGGAACTTGGTGTTAAACATGCTCAAATCAGAAATAATGACTTCTTCTCTACAGTGAATGTAATTAAGTATTGAAGAACTCAGAATGAGCGTAATAAGGAATATGCTGTGGTTCAAAGAGGTTCGTTTGGCTGCAGCAGATCCCCTGGCAGGGGTAAAGGCAGCTCTTGGAGACGTTGGTCTTGGAGACGTTGCAGTTTCTCAAACCTTGCTGGTTTAAGTGGTGTGTGCACTTCTGATCCTATAATTTCACAGGTAAATTTTGTGCTGGAATTGAAATGTTTGCACATGTGTCAATATGGGAAGAAAAGGTAAATTTTCTTAGTTTTGTGTCCAGCCTGCTTTGGAAGGTAACTTGTGGTGGCCATTTGTAAATTGGGTCCTTTGTGGTGCGGGTCAAAATAACGCGCAAATGGTTCATTGCAGCATTTCTGCTCAGTTCAGCAGATGAGCAGTTCCAGCAAAGGTGGAACATCCAATGGTTTTAATACCAGATTTCCTGAGACTTTTCCAGCATCTGTAGAATGCTTTATAAAATCACCAGTCGCTGTGCTGACTGGGATGGGGCCATTGGAGCTGTGGCTGCTGTGTGATCTGAGCTTCTTCGGCTTTTGTGGACTGTGGCTCTGTGTCAGCTCCTTCTGATGCTGCACAGCAACTCTTCAACAACTGAGTCACCTCTTCTATTCTCATCTCCATCCTCTGAGTCTGCATTTGCACGTGTGCTTTGTAATCTCGGTTGACAATATTACGACTTGGGCCACATAGGAAGAAGCATAATGATAAATCCCAAGGTCCAGTACCACTCTGCAATGGCTTGTGGAATTGTAGAACTTACAGGAGTAAGTGAATACTTTTTCCTGTTATTTACTGAAGTACCAAAGGCTGCCTGACGTTTGTGCTTTGCAAGAAAACATCACTTTATGTGCCAGCTTTTGTTTTCTATAATCAATGTAATTTGCTGTTCAATAGAACGTGAACAAAATCCATGCATTTCTGAATGAGAAGATCCAGTTAAGCTGCTTTTTGGCACAACCAGCTCCTGTAAGAGCTAGGATGTGGCACCTGATCACATAGCTGGGGTGGTGCTTCTGAAACCACCTTGATGACTTGTCAAAAGGCAGAGCTATTGATTTTTCTTTTTATTTTTTTTCCCCTCTGTTATTTTTATAGAAGTATCCAAGCTGGAGAACTTACCCTACCACCTCTTCTGCTTGAAGCAAGCATGCTTACATAGTGAGTGACACCTTTGCTGTGTACGGACGCAGAAAGGGCTGGTTTGCTCTTAGGGTTACTGCTAATGTTGTTGCTAGTCTTGGAATGAAGGAAAAGCTGTGCTTACCATGAAGCTTTCAGAGGCAGCAGAGGCCTGTTCCTGGCTTGCTAGGCTCCATCTGCACATAAGCCAAGCTGCTGGCTGGTGGATCCCTAGCTTACAGATTGTCGTTGTTCGGTTACTTTACTTGAGCATAATCTTTACATGAATAGAATTTCTTGTGTGCTGTAGAGTAACCTTTTATATTATTAGTATCTGCAATAATTTTTTCCCTTGGAAAGTGATTCATTTCTTCTTGCAGATAGGGAAGACATGAAGCATTATTCTGCAGTCACACAAGAAGCCCTATTCATTCACAGTTTATATTGTGAAACCAACCCTGTATCCTTAGGGTTGGAGTTGGTTTCGTGGCAGCAGTCCTAATTACTGAATCTATCTCCAGCATATCTGAACTGGGGGCTGTTTAGAAGCACAACTGGAATGAAATGGGAGGTCGAAAAGATGGAAATATGGATGTTTCTTAATGCACTCAGTCTTTCCATTGTTGCTGTTCATAAATAGTAGATTTGAGTCACCAGCCCAAAGTCTCAACAAAAGCCCATTCAAGCTCAGTTTGAGACCAGATTCCCAGATCTGGTAACAGGAAGATTTTGTCTTAACTGGGTTTATATGCTGGATCATGTTTGGTGGTTCAGTGTCAAATAAAGCTGTGAGCTGAGTGCTGCTAATCCTGGTCAAGTAAAGCCAGTGGAGGAGTGAGAAATGCAGTTTGTATTCTGTGTGTGTGTGCGTTTGTGCCGCCTGGGAAGTTACTGGTCTTGGCTGTGTGTAGCTGGAGACAAGTGCTTCAGTGCCTTGAGATACCTTAGCACGTTTCTGCAGACAGTGAAAATAAGGCAAGTGATATTCACTGAGAAGACATTACACTAAGGACATTAAAAAGAGGCTGTTAGATTTTTAATATTCATTCTCTGTTTACTTCTTTCCCTGCCGCAACAGTAAAAGGGCTGAAGACATCTGAGCACGGAGGAGGAGGTCGTGTTGTGACAGCCGTGACATGTCTGTGTCTTGATTGTGTTGGCTCCTGGATGTGGTGGTACCAGAGAAACACAGCCTGGTTGGGAAGAGGTTAGAGAATGCAGCAAGCGTGGCTGGTCAGCATCCTTCTTCTAAGGGGCTGACTGCTTGAGCATGGCTGAGCAGTGGCTTAGGGCTTAAGCACGTAGAATTGTTTGGAAAGTGGAGATGATAGGAGGAGCTGCTTCATGTGTTGTTGAGCATATCTGGAAAAGCAAAACTGAACTGAAGAAGCAGTAGTTTAGGCTGAGAATCTGAGACTTCATTTTGACAAATCCTTGTGGAGTAATCTTAATGACATGAAAAGCTTCAGTGTTTGAAGATAGCTTAACGGGTGGGAGAAACTTAATCCCAATGGAAGGAGTACATATAAAAGGGGGAAGCAACCCCTTGGAGTGATAGAGGAGTCAGAGAGATTTAACGTCTTATTTCTATGATTAGGGAATAGCTTTGTCAAGATGCAATTGTTTCCCAAATTATGTACATCTCAGACAGTCTTCCTTGGTGGTAAAACTTGTTCATTAGAAAAGTAGGGAAGAGAGGACTGGAGCAATTGTGAAGAGCAGTCTTCTGCTGTGACTCATGGAGGAGGGAGGAAGGAGCTCTGAACAAGTCTCATGCTTTTTTGGAAACAATATTGACTTTTCTAATCTCCTCTTTTGCTGGCCTCTGTTTTCTCTAAGCATCATGGAACTTTTCTTTCGGGAGATGCTGGGAAGTTTGTTGATAGAGAGTCAAAAAAGAGCAAGCAGCAAATAGGCTTTTACCTCTGAAAGTGTTAGAAGGCTCTTGGAGTGCAGAGATCATTAGACTTCTTGGAGTCATGGAAGCATGGGTTTTCCTGCCTGAACAAAGCCTGCTAAGTCTTATAAGATGAGCACGTTGGTGAGCCATTTTTTAAACTGTGGCTCTGATTCAGCGAAGCATTAAACGCACCTGATTGTGGAGCCTGAGAGTCAGTGACTGGAGGGTGTGGAGTCTTATTACCTAGGCTTCTGCTCCACGTATAAGGACCCCAGGGTTTAAAAATGGTTCTGTTTACGCCCTTTATCCTCTGACTCAGTGCTGTGGCTGGGCACACCCCATACCTCTGATCATCCCTTTGGAAGGCTCTCCTGTGCCTGTGGGGCTTTGGGGCAATGCCAGTGGGTGCAGGGAGGAGCAGTATGGGGCAGGCACAGAAGCGTGCTGTGAAGCTGGCCCTGGCACAACAGACAGATTGGCCTGTGGTGCTTGATAGGCAGGTGGCAGCCTGTTACAGACACCAACCTGGTAGTTGGAGCAGTTGCTACTTCATCTTGCATGCAATCATTGCAATGTTTTATGTAATCCACGGAACAAATCAGAAAGGCTTCTGCGTGCAATTCTACTTAATGGTAATGAGCGGATTTGATGTGTTTATGAATCCCAGCAAATAATCTTAAAATCAGTTCTTTTCAACTTCAAATGAAGGATTTATAATACATAAAATGTCAACGTTCAGCAGGATGGGTTTGTTTTTTGTACAATTTAACCATTATGATAGGAAATGCAACCATAAATGCTTACTCTGAGTGTAAAATTCTCAATTCTGATTTTCACAGACAGAACCTCTACACAAATGCTATTTTCTGCTCTTGGTGTCTACACCAGCAGACTTATTTAAGAAGTCTGTTATGCTATTTATGGGTTACAGGAGAATAAAAAAAGCAGTTCTGCCTTAAAATGTTTGCCATAGTCCCAGAGACCTTGGTGAAAGGCTAATGGAAGTAGCCTTTATGAAAGGCCAAACATTTTTAGAGGCATTCATCTGCTTTGCTTCAGGCTGTTTGCAGTGCTTTATAATCCAGAGAATTTGGAAATCCTGAAAGTGCTTTTCTCAACCGCTGTTTTCCTTGTGTTAGAGGGTCTTGGGAAATGAAAGCCAGAAATTTGCAACGTGATCACAGTGTTGTGTACCGTTAGAATTAAAGGTAATGTTTTGCACAGAATAGGAAAGAGGGGGGAAATAAGCAAGTCTGGAAAAAAGAAATCAATGAGTGGTTAAAATAGAGCTGTTAAAATGGCAACACAGCAACACAGCCCGTGTATAAATATAGGCTAGCTCCTTAGCAGTGTTCTTATATGGTAGATCTGAGTGAAGGAAAAATATCAGCCTGTTCTCACTCCATACAAGCCTGAATGCTGGTTGGTAAGGTCTGATGCCATTTGTTTGGTGTCAGAAAAGGCTGTATCTTACATGTCAGTTGTAATGACTCTTGTTTCTCTTTCTCTTGCAGGGACCTTCCTTAACAATGTGAGAAGGGACTCACACAAGCATACTGTGGATTTTTTATCTGTACATACCACTTGATTATTGTCTGTGTTCTACTGGTCAACCTGAAAAGAAAGATCAAACAAAAATTGTTGTCAGCTTTGCCCTAAAGCTGCCTGAAATTTATGACTCCTTTTGGAGAAACTACCTGGACTGTTAGAAATGGAGCAGCTCAGGCTGTGTCTCTGATCAGCAGAGCTCTCTGCGTGGAGTACAGAAATCAAGTTGCCTTAAATCAAACCATATGCAGGTTGCACTAATTGTTGTAACTACTGCTGATACCACTCCAGACTTCACTAGGACTTTCCAAGACAGTTGTTTCTCACGTGGCTTGAATGTTTTCAACTGATGTTTGAATATTTCTATTCAATCTGGTGTGACTGTGCAAAGTCAAAGGAGTTTATTTTTGCCTGCTAAATTAATGGTGAATTTTGAAGCCTCACTTCCAAGCGGGATCTGTGCTATGGCAGCAACCTACAGGCTTATGGTCACAACTGTGAACTGCTACAGCAGCGTGGTGATAGAACAGCACTTTCAGCACACAGTGCATTACTGCACGGGGACCTGCCAGGTGTTTAAGCAAGGAGTTGCATGTATAGTTGCCCACCACAGTGTGTGTGCAGAACTCGGTGTCCAAGATGCCAACCTAGACCACAAAATTCCAGTTTCTGAAAACGGCCTTGCCTTACCTGGGAATGAGGACTATCAGCAAATACTCCTGAATAATCCCAGAATCAAAAAGGGCTCTTCGGTGCAAGCTTCTGGCAGTTTAAAAGACATTACTGGTGAGGCAATAAATCTCGCCAGTGGTAAAATAAAGGAATTCTCGTTTGAGAAGCTCAAAAACTCTTCCAATCATGTGGCCTACAGAAAGGGGAGGAAAGTTCGTTCAGAATCATTCAGCAGACGATCATTTGATTTTGACATGATTTATGGGCACTTCAGCAACGATGAGAACTCTCCTCCGTGTGGCTTTTTGCAGAGTCCCTCGCCTGTGGAGAAATGGCAGGAGAGCAATGATGCTCCAGAAGTCGGTATGAATCCCATGGTTCCCTTCTCACCTCATTCCTTCTCTGACGAAAACTTCATTACCCAGATTTTGGAGAAGCACAAGCTGGATGGTTCTTCTAGTGGAGATATTAAAGTGTGCTTAGACATCTTGCTCAAGTGCTCAGAGGATCTGAAGAAGTGCACTGACATAATAAAGCACTGCATCAAAAAGAAATCAGCAGACAGTGTTAGTGGAGGGAATAGCAGCGATCCTCTGGCTAGTTCAGAAATGATATACGTGAATCTGATGAGAAGATTTTCTTCATACCTGAAAAAGTTACCCTTTGAGTTCAAGCCACCTGGGCACAAGGAGGCAGGTGATCTTGGAGAATTAGTGAACTGTTTTCATGGCTTGCAGCAAACTCCCTTTTCGCCAATATTTGGAGATGAGCAGCCACCTAGGTATGAAGATATTATTCAGCTTCCATCCTCAAATGCAGTTCCTGTCAGACCACCAGGCGACCAGTGTGAGGTGACAAGTGCCTCTCAGTCCATCCAAACAAGCACTGTGAGCTTTACCTCAAACTCCCTTTGCAGCACCTCACAGGAGAACACTGTGAGAGCTGTGAAAGATGCTTGTGTTCTACCTCAGTTATCAGCCACAAGCCCTTCTGACTGCACACCTTCCACTGAGGTTTTGTACATCGAGGAAGAGTCAGATGGGGAAAGAGTGTTGGAGAAAACAACGAGGGCAAAGGAGAAGGAGGACTGGGAGAGTTTAAAGCATAGCTACCAGCTATCTGGTTCTTCAGATGCGATTGCTGATGGTAAAGCAGAACCTACCAGGGTAGGAGGTGAACTTTCTCACGCTTCTGAGAAAAGTAATCTTTTAAAACCAGTTTCAGATTCTGTACTGCGTGGTTCTCAAGCTGGCATCTCCAAAGGAGAACAGACGTGCAAGATAGACAAGGATGAAATAGATAAACTGCTGCTGGACTTGGAGCACTTCTCACAGAAAATGGAGAGTACTTTTAGGGAGCCCCCTCCAAAGGAGAGCGAACCTGCCTGTCTGCAGGTGTTTGGCTGGCAGGGTAGGCCGGTACTACCTGCGGCTCTTGAACCCAAAAGTAAACCCAGTGACCCCACTTCCCCTTTGTCAAAAATCATGGAAACCAATGGTCATAAAATGGAAGAAGATGACAGAGCCCTTTTAATGCGTATCTTAGAAAGCATCGAGGACTTTGCCCAGGAACTAGTGGAATTCCAGACAGGCAAAGGAAGCTTGTCCAAGGAGAAGGAAGTGATGCAAATTCTTCAGGAAACTTTATCAACTCCTTCACAGTCCCTCCTTGCAGGGCAAAAAAGCCATGCTGGGGCTGCCTCCAGAGACTCTGTTCCAGCTTTGATTCAGCAGGCACCAGAAGTAATTAAGGTAAGAGGATGAAGCCTTTGAGTGGATAATAAAATAAATGTGGAAAAAAATGTGGAAAAAATGTTACGAGTGGTAAGCAGTTCTTTCGATGCTGCAGTGTGGAATAATGTGCTCAACCTGGCAGTAGTATTGATGCAGAAACGAAAAAGGAAACAAAAAAACTGAGCAAACAAAATGGGCTCTGACGTGCAGTTTCACCTTTCACCTTGTCGTTTTCCTGATGGTACTCCTGTAGCCTCCTGTTTGCTTGTACTTAAGTGGGTCCTACATAACAGAAGGGCTGAGGCAGTGTTTCAGCTTATTGCTTTATTCCTGGGAGCAGGCACTGGATTGGCTCTCACCAGTTCAGTGAGAACTGGAGGCTCCACCTTGCCCTTTCCCTTCTCAGAGTAACAGCTTCCTTTGTACTGCTTATCGGTGGATCCTGAAGAAAGATCCTCTGTGGTGCAACAATGAAACCTAAGAAGATTTATTTATTTATTTCCCTTCCTGTGTCCTCAGTGCACAGAGTGGTTACGGTATCCACACTGCGCATTTCTCAAACAAGAAGCAGGATTTTTTGAGCAGGGTCTGTTGGAAGCCTGCTTTAGAGGGAAGCTGAAGCTCTCTGTCCAGTTCCTAATACTTTCCATTTGAAAACGAGTGCCACACTTCCATAACAATGCAGTAACAAGGTCCCACAAGGTGCACAGAAGGGCTTCACTTCCCAAAATCCATTTTCCATTTATGTACTTGAGAAGGCGTCCAGGTTATCAGTGAACTCTCAGAGCTCTTTCCAGCAGGAGCGTGGTTTGCGTGTCTTCAGGGTGTTTGATTTCCTGAAAACACAGGTATTTGGTGCAGTTCTGAAAGGGCTCGGATGGAGAGAAGTATTTTATCTCCCTACATGACATGATTTTTTTTCTTAGTTTTAAGACTAGATGCTCTCCAAGCATTTCTAATTTTTCTCCGTGCATCTTTGCTTATGGAAAATGGCAAATATGACCTTGTTGGATATCTCCAGCAAGCCAAAAGAGCTTCTTCCTCAAAGTGTTGAACTAAGCAGCTTTAAAGGTTCTGAAGCAATCTTTTAATAATTATTCTTGCCTTATGTATTTACAAGATTTTTTTTTTTAAACTTGTGAACTTGAAACAAAAATTATCATGTGACATCTGCATTTTGTGGCTGCTTTTGTACAGTACTGAGAACTTGGATACTCTTAGACTGTCAAACAGCTTTTTTCAATTGGTTCCCTACTGGTTTGTTTCCCTCGTTATCCCTGTGGTGTGTGTGTTAGTTTGCTCTTAGCCTGCCTTCACAGACATACAGTGTGTACCAGTATTACCGGAGCTCCTCTCGCTTACTACAGCTCAGCTTTGTGCACGTGGCTAGCACCAAAACTCACAGAAGAAAAGAAATGTCTTGGGAAAGCAGAGGAGACCTGGGGGGGCCTGTGCTGCACAGTGCAGCTGGTGCCCTTCAGAGTGAGCTAGCCCTTAGCTGAGTGGACAGAAGTCACCTGAACTGCTGGTTAAACCAGCTATGGCTTTCTCTGAGGTTTGGTGGGGTTTATAGAGAATGTTTTGTGCTCATCACCTCACCTGTAGGCGTAGCATGTAGGGTATAACATGTTGGTTAATTCTGAGTCTGGCTGGAGAATTTCCGTGAATTTCTGAAGTGTTTGTTGTATTTTCTTAGGGCTCGTAAATGATTATCAAGTAATTGTACAGCACACATGCAAAAGCGAAGAACAAAAACCTACCAGATCTAACATTGGTGAAAATGCAGTGCGATTTTCATTTCTGATGCTTGTGGCAGTTCCAGTCCCTTGAGCAATGTGGAAGGAAAGGTGAAGCCCCTTCAGGCCAGGCCGCCTGCTGGCTCAGAGTGGCCTATCTGCATTGAAATCTGGGCTAACTTGCATCAGCAACAGATTTTTCCCTTTGTCGTAAGAGCCGGTTATGATCATCCATGCAGAACAATAGAATTACTTGCCTCCTCAATTTCAAAACCAAAATATTTATAAATTAGGAAATGAATACTCAAGAAGTCCATCAATTTTTCAGAGCACGTAATGAGCAAATCATGCTTCTTATAGGCAGTCCAGGAAGCTTCGCATGCTTCCAGGCTGTTTGACATTTCCCAATCTGAGATCCAGTTTTCCGCTGCTTATCTCTGGACTAAGTATTTAGTTTAAAATTTCCTGTTCTGTGTGTCTGCTGTAAGCTGATCTTTCTTATAAAATGTTTTTTGAAATACATGGTTCAGTGAAAATAATTCAGCTGACTAGCTAGGAGCTAGCAAAAAACCCCAAATGTTTGCTAGTCCGAGAAGGACCAGCAGCAAACCAAATAGCTGTATTCTTTGTAGGCAGGAGGGCAGTAAGGAGCACAGCTTGGTTGGACTGACAGTTGTGAGGTAAAACTAGAAACAGGGAGTAAGGGAGAAGTAGAAAGTGGGCTGTAGAAATTATCTGATCTACAGATGTGATGACTGATAGATATTTTTTTTGAGGGAAGGGAGGGTAAAGTAAAGGGTTCTGCCTTTTGTTTGAAATGTCTCCTGCAGAGTTCTTGGAAAAGTCAGGGGTGGGTGTTTTTGACCTTAGCTTCTCTGTGCCCTTGCCCTGCAACCTGTGCAGGATGGATGATTCTATGAAGCATTTAAATTTGGTTAATGAATGCTTGCAAAGTGCATAGTGCTGGAGTGTAAGTATGCAATAAAGCCTTTAAGAACCTTACGTGCTCATTCTGCCTTCAGGATCAAGTTTGAAAGTGCAGGGCTCTGCTCCAAGCCCTGCTTATGCATTCTGTTTTAAGAGCTGCTGGGTGAAGTTTGTGAATAGTCTTGAGAGCAGAAACCAGGACAGGAGTTTGATGCCAGCAGAGGCTGCCTCTTCACATCCTGCCTCCACCGAGCACCTCGTATCGAAAGCCTACTTGTGGTGCAGTGAGCTAGAAAGTGTGGTCCTGCCTCCTGTTTCTCTTCCTCATTTCTCCACTTCCCTACTGCATGGCTTTGAACTTTCTTTTTACTTACCCCGATGCTTATGTACAAACTTAATATTTTTAAGCTTGTTTTCTGCTAAATGAGTAATTAGAAATTAGCTATGTTGAAGTGCAGTGGGTGGTACAGCTGCCTTTGGTCAAGGAGAGATGGACCTTGAAGCAGAAAGCTCAGAGCTTGCAGGGCTTTTACATTAAATAATCACATTGTCTCAAAATGCATTTGTAATATAATGGAAAATTTCCTGGAATCAGATTTCCTCTACATATGTTACGAATTGTTTGGATCAGATGTTGTGACATCACTCAATTAAGTTATCTGCACTCTTTTCAAACATCAATTATTCATGGTTTCTAATCCCAAATGGTAAGAAAGGAGATTTTGATTGTTTGATAATAGTAATTGAAATAAAGGAAAATAATAAATGAATCTTAAAGTATCTTGGAATCAGAAATGACAAGAAAATTAGGTGAAACTAAGGAATTTAAAGAGCCAATATTAACCACTTAAGGAGACGTGCCTGGCAGGTGGGCTAATTTTGTACTCACAGCAGATACAGATTCTTCTTGCATTAGCTTGGTTTGTCTTAAAACAGACATCTGAAGGTATTGGTGCAAAACTGGTATGCATTGAATTTTTCAGCCTCGTTGACTCTAAAACCAATAAGAAGTGATGCTATTGCTGGAGAGGCTTGATCTGTTCTGAAGGCATTTGGAGCTGGTGCCCTTTTCAGCCATATAGAATGCACTGGGTTTTTGCAGCCAGACTTGTGCTACAGCTAAATCCTGTGGTGATTGAATTGTCTGAATGTTTTAGAACCAAGCCTCTAGCTTTAGGCACAGGTGGGATTCTGTCCGTGTTCTGATGGCTGATGAAGGCAGTATGTATTTCTTTAGATACAACATCTTTCACCTTTGTGCTTTACATCGGGTCACTCAAAGCAGAGGACTTTCCAAATTTGCCTGCATTTTGTTCAGTTGATAGGTACCCTGTTGATATTCTTTCCTACTGCAGACTGTGAATCCATCCTTTTGCTTCCAGTCTCTCAGAGTGCTGTGTATTTCTGTCTTTATTCATACCCTCCTTTTGTGCTTTGAGGATAAGAGATACCATAATAGGAACCTGCTATTTTGCAAAAATCTGGAATTCAGATTTTTCAAGCTTCAGCTCCAGTTTGCTTTTCTTTTTCCGTGCTGTCAGGGTGGTGGTGTAACTGTTTGGAATCTTGAAGTGGTTGATATGTGAATGGGAAATCTTTATTTCAAGAAATAGCGAGTGGTTGCTGGGTTAGTGTGTCTCTTCCATTCATTTGTCTTTTAAAGCACAGTGTAGCTGGTCTGGATGCAGCCGTAGAGATAAGAGGTTCCTTGGGGCTACATTTCCTCTGCGATGTGTAAGCAGGGTGAGAGGTCAGTGGAAGGTGAAGCAAGTGCACTTGCCACAGATGGCTGGGCATAAATCTTGTGACATGCTGCTATGTGAGATGTGCAGAGCTCCACGTACAGCGAAGCTTCTTGTGCTCTTTGGGCATTGCTTTAATGTTTAGAAAAAATTGTTAGAGCGAGAAAATATTTGTTCCCATACTTCTGCATACAGATGCATGTGCTTTTTGCTTAACTGCAATCCCATTTAAAACTTTCCTGCCTTCCGTTTTCTTTTGTTAGGACTCTTCTCATTCCTTTCCTTGTCCTGCCCCTCTGTTAGGCCGCACTTTCATTGGCGAGGCACGTGGCAAACTCAGCTGATGGCGCTGTGGTAACCTTGTGATGGTCTGGAGCTGTGTCTGTGAACACACACCTGCACTTCGGAGCTGCAGAGCGCTCCCAGGTTGCACAACTCAGATACAGCTTCAGTGACCTAACGGGACCTACATGATGCTCCGTGTGATCCGTTCTTGTTCAAGTATTCTTTCATAAAGAGCTGAATTCCACAGCCTAGACTTTTACCTTGTTCTGTTGAATGAGGAACAAGAGGAGAAAAAAACATCTTGGGATTTTTGCTACGCAGTTATGAA